GCAGGATCTACCTCTCCTAAATCCATGTTGGCTATCCTTTATAATGTTATTTGCATCTAGGTAATCTACCATTTTCTTCACCAATAGCAAGGCCTTAACCAAAGAGTTATCTGCTGTCAGCCTGAGATGGAGGACCACTGTTTTTTTGTGTGAGGTGAGGTACTGTCTCACATCCCAAACTGGAATGGATGCTGTCCCAGGCCCAGCCCTCACTACCCCATCCAAAGGCAATCCCATACTCTTCCTGCATATAAGTATACAGTTCTAGTCCCAAAATACTGTCTCTTGGTCCAGACTCAAACTGGATATGTCCCATTACTACGTTCCAGCTATGTGGGTGTATATTAAGGTGGGGGTGGGGTGCATATCTGACTTGTTTTTGAGAGATACTGGTCCCTTTGCTTCATGTCCAACTAAAATCCTGCTGAGGTGCATGACTAATTTCTAGCTTACTGGAAACATTCTAAAGTAGAATTTAATATTTAATTTACTGATAATGTGTCTGTTTTATTGGGCAGAACCTGACAGCGCCTAAGTATGGAAGGCTTCTGACAAAAAGAGTGTTTGTACTGAAAATGTAAGAAGGACCAGCTTTTGGGCAGCACTGTGGGTGAAGCCATGTAGAGGGTCTGTCTGCAGCAGCTGTTTCTATCGCATATTAGCGATGGAGATTTTGCTGAAACGTGTCCGTTTCATTTTGTGATGGTGACCACTTTTGATCTGCTTTTGGTTTCCTATTGAGGTCTCTGTTTGTTAACCCATGCGTTATAAATATGTATACTGGCTTTTTTTTTTTTTTTTGACTCAGTCCAGTGGCCAGTACTACGAAGCGGGATTACTGGCTTATCGGGGTGACTTGTCGGATTTAAGGTACCACAGTTTAAATGGACTTCATATTTGTTCACTTACATTTTGCCCAGACTACCTTAAATCTGACTGGTTACCCAATAAGCCGGTAACCCCACTTCGTAGTACAGGCCCCTGGTCCCTCTATCACAGGGGTTCTCAAACATTTTGATTACAGGTCTACATCAGTCAGAGGTGTGGAACAGTTTTCAATAACAAAACAGCATTTCATGAACTTTAATGAATAAGGGGCGATAAATTTTGTTACTAGACATCAATATACAACAAAAATAGGAACTTTTAATGCTTGCTGATTGTTCTTGACACTCTGTCATGGAGGAGGGGAGGGATGAGGAGGTGTGTGTGTGTGTGAGAGTGAGAGGGGGGGGGTTGGTGGTTCTGCATTGTATTTCTGTACTTCAAACCACATTAAACCTTATGTTAGCCATATTGATTCATGAGGTGCATTACTGGCTGGGTCCGGATTAACGTGCCGTTCAGTCTGCATCTGGACTTTGAGAACCTCTGCTCTAGTACTTGCCTGGTTCTCTATTGGTCGGTAAACATGCTCTGACCTTCATTTGCTCTCCTTCAGCCCTGAAGGACTGTCTTTTGACATTGGTGGTCTTGTGTTCACTTGGTCCTGCTCGCTTACTTGCTCAGTGGCGCACCCCCTTCTTGGCCTTCTCGTCTTCACCCTGCAGCTGCTGAAGGCGGGGCTGTCTCGCACCTGTTTGCCCCTCTGATGGGATGGCGAAACGCATATGGCATCTGGGCGCTGCCGGCCGGTGTCCATCCACCTGGGGGTAGGGCAGGGAGAGTGGCCATGAGGTCCTCAGAGTTGGGGTTGCTATGATGTCCACAGATGTTTGACTAGTGCATCTTGGTTGTGCAATATTACATACAGTATCAGGCAAAAGTCTGGACACGACAAGCCTTTTACAGAGGACAGTGATAGTGTCGCATCACATGACCTGGCCACCTGACTTGGATACAGTAGAAATGGTTCTGGAGGAGTTTGACCAGAGAGTGAAGGAAAGTGACCAATGAATGCTCAGCATATATGTGAGACCTCCTTCAGGACCGCAGGAAAAGCATCCCAGGAGGCCACCTCATGAAACTGGCGTAGAGGAGAAAGTAGGGTCGGCCAGTTCCTGGAGCAACTGGGGTTAAGGGCCTTGCTCAAGGGCGCAATGGTGGGATCACTTGCCCGACCACGGGATTTAAACTGGCAACAAATTACTTTTGTTTAATGCTTTTTTTTGGTCAGTGCATAATTCCATATATATTATTTTAGTTTTGATGTCTTTATATGAAAAAGTGGAAAATGGTGCAAATGAAACTTTCTGGTGGTAGGTGTGTCTGAATGTGGACTGGTACTGAATTGTACCTATTATTCTGAGGTGTGTCTCCTAGTGCAGGGTACTTCAAATCTGGACCTCGATTCCAAATCCAGGCGTTGTTTTCAGTTCTCCCAGGTAGTTAGTTTAATTATTACTGATTCTGATTGGTCAGAGGCTTCACACCTGACTGACAGGTAAAGGAAGGCTGGAAAACCAGCAGTGCTTGGACCTCGAGGACCGTGATTTGAATAACCCTGTCCTAGTGTGTGACCCTCACTTGCGTAGTGGAGCCAGCTGGCAAGTGCAGCTCCAGAGGTTATTGGCTAGTGTGAGGTTCTGGATGGTGCTGAACTCCAGGCTCCGTGGGAGGGTCCTTAGCTTGTTGTTCTCCAGGTGTAGGGACTTGAGGGCCGTCACCCCTGTGAAGGCACCTTCTGAAAACTGAGCAGGAGAGAAAAACCTAGTAAACCATGACAAACCTCATCAGGTTGTTCCACTCTCAAGGTCAGCAAGTCTTAAAAATGGACTTTTCATTCATGACCTGCATCCATTAAAACCCTCTTTATCTATGCTAATCTGTAACTGTCAATTTTCCCTAGTGGGAAAAAATTGAGTGTAAACAGGTCTACTGACTGTTGAATTTCTCAACCCCTTACAAAAGACCTCCCTTCATTGGTATCCATCAGGAGAAATAGCCCCCAAAACAGGTCATAATTTTGAGGGGCAGTTAATCTCGCATTTAAGTCCCATTTAGGCTCTCTTAGTCTACATTCTTAGATGGACCTCTTGCCCAACTTTATGCACTTTTGTTAAAATGTTAAATCTCACACCTAACTGCAGAATCAGTTGATCTCCAGGGTGTCAGGTCTGCAGCAAGTTAGGGGGGGGGGGGAGGAACAGCAGAGGAAGGTAGGGGAACAGGGGGCAGGTGGGCGGCCTCTTGTGCAAGTCCAAAATATGTGAGGGCACTAAAGCTACAGTTAGGAAATTTCCACTGGTGGGGGCGGGTGGAGAGAGTAGGAGTAGGGAGGGCCTGGTAATTTGAGGCAATGGAAGATGGATGCCTTCCAGCTCCAAGGGTTGTTTTTCTCAGTCCTCGGTCTCCAATCCATGCCCTCGTCTGCCAGTGCTGCTGCAAAGGGACCGATTGTCCATTCACCTGAGCGATGGCACGCTAAAAATACTCCTCTTCATGGGCTTTGGAACACCATGCCTCTGTTTACCTGTCTCATAACCCTGACCTGCTTACAGGGAACACAGTTTGTGTGGTAAGAAGTGGGATGGGGGCTCTGAGAATATTGCATGTGTAATGATTCGTCAGGATATACCTGGAAATAAACAAACATGCCTAAAAATACCCACTTTTGATTGGAGAGGGGCTCCTTCTCCCGAGGCCTACTTCTCTAGTGCTCCGTGCTTTTCACAAGAGCATGGAGGCTGAGTTCTCTGCATTTTTATTTATTTTGCAGATTTCCTACACCTTTTTATAACAGAGGTTTAGGTAAGGTACAGCACACCCCCATTGCTGGGTAGGACAGTTCAGACAGAGATGCTCTTACATAGGACGGCTTGTACCATTCTCTTGCGGTGGACAGCTCTTGCACAGGGTGTCTTGTACCATTCTCTTACGGTGGACAGATCTTGCATACGACAGCTTGTACCATTCTCTTACGGTGGACAGATCTTGCATACGACAGCTTGTACCATTCTCTTATGGTGGACAGCTCTTGCGTAGGAAAGATCTAGTGCTGGTCTGACACTGATCTCCGGACACCCATCTCCTTATATAGTTTTTTCTTACATGAAACCTCTTACAAAGGTCCTTTCTCCCTAGTCTCCTGGTGGACACAGATCATAATTTTTTCACAAAACATATTATACACCAATTTTACACAGGACAGTCCTTATGCTTGTCATATACTGCAAAGCTATCCTGTTCCTATGATATTTGGCTTCAGATTTTGTTGTCACATGCTCAGAGGAACATGAAACGTGAAATTTGCATGCCACAGTTGCAGGGTAGGGGATAGGTGTGTGTGTGTTTGTGTGTGTGTGGGGTGGGGTGGGGGGGGCAATAGAACAAACGGTAGCGCAATAAAAGATGATAAATTTAGACAGTGAGTCTAACACAGGGGTGCCAATGGAAGTCTTTACATACCAGTGTTCCATCTCTGCTTTTAATTAATTGACCTCAGCTCTTAGCTCAGTCTATTGGCATCAGCATAAATAATTCTGGGCACGCTGCCTAGACAGTTGTCCTGAACTGTGCCTGAATGATCCCCAGATAGCCCAGCGGACGGACACAGTCCTACAAAGGAATCCTCCGAGAGGGTCAGCGGTCTAACCATGCAACCACAGGAATGCGAGGTGCTGTCTCCATGCATATGTGCAACATCTGTGCCTGCAATATGATGGAGAGATCAGAAGATCATGTATCACCTCCACCTAAAAGGGGCAAGGTCAGCTCCTTCATGGCACATCACTTGCTCTCTACTTCTGCAGAACATTTGGAAATATAAGGTCTCCACCATAACAAGGACGAGCAGCAGAGATGAAAGCTCATGGGATCGGGAGACAGTTCATCTCTAGCCTACCATGTGCGTCCTCCAAGGAAACGCCCCTGGTCTGCCTTTACCTCCAAGACTTCAGTACGGGTCATTCATGAACTAAAACTCAACAACTTGGATCTCAGAGCTAACACACCACCCCAAGCATAAATACACTACTCAGAGTTCTGAATGTCCATATCATCTCGTCCCACCTGATATCTGGGTGGGATGAGATGAATTTGGAACGTCAACCCTGATCTAACATATTGCCGTGTATAAAGACCCCACCCAATACCATGTTTGCACCATGATATTTTTGAGGCTCCCTAATGATGGCACAAACAATGCGGCTGCTTCATTTAGGACATCCTTCCCATGCCAGCACTATTTGCTTTCATTAGGTAGCTCATCTCATTGTGCTTAGTCAAAGGTCCCGACAGATAAACATGCATCATAAACGTTTCATTTAATGCCTATCAAATGTCAGTGTGGCTAACGCAAGCGGCTGGCGCAGGGACTAATCTCTTCTTAGTTGTATTTGGTTGGAATGGCACCAAATTTACTTTGTATTGTTTGTTTTTAAGTGCAATTGGTCTTTCCATGTTGTATGTAAGAAATGAGCTATCAACACAGAATCCTCCACCTCTGGTGATGAACAGGTCAAAAACTGTTCCAGATCTAACTACCATTAGTTTTAGCATGAAATCCTCTATTTCTGCTCCAGAACCAGTCTGGTTTCAGATCTTGCCTTACCTCTGGCTTGAACTTACCTTCTCCAAGCCCATGTTATCCAAGTATAACTTCTCCATGTAGCGACCAAAGCTCTGGAAAGCATTGTCTGGGATAGTCTTCATCGGGTTCTTTGAGAACTTAAGTTCTTCCACCACACGCAGTTTGCTCATGGCTGCACTTGGATAGGTGGCCAGCTTATTGTGGTCCAGATGCAGGATGGCTAGGTTCTCCACATCATCCAGTGAGCCAGGCTGCAGTGAGGTCATGTCGTTGCCACTCAGGTGCAGCCAGCGTAGGTCCTTGGCACCAGTGAATGTGCCTGCACGCAACTCCTGGACCCGATTATCATTGAGCTGAAGGGTAAAGAGGTTGATCATGGGTGAAAAGATACCCTTGGATAGGTCACTGATGTGGTTGCCATCTAGGTAGAGGTAGGTGAGTTCTGTCAGGTCCTCGAAGGCCCCTGGTTTGATGATGCTGATCTCATTGTTGGACAGGTAGAGGTAGATGAGCTTCTTGAGGCCCTTGAAAGCCTGGCCAGCAATCTCGCGCAGCTGGCAGTGTTGCATGTGCAAGGAGACCAGGCCTTTGGCATCAGAGAAGGTGCCAGTCGGCAGGACACCCAGACTGTTGTGCTGTAGGTTGAGGAGCTGCGTGGCCGCTGACACACGCGGGGTCTTGGTCAGCCCCACATTCTGACAGATGACGTGCTGCAGGTCTCCGTGGCAGTGGCACTGGCTCGGGCACTGGCTGGGTGCCCCCCATGCTGCAGGGCCAAGTCCCAGTGCACACATCACCACCAAGAAGTGGTCCATCTGCATGCTGTTGCTACTTCTGTTCACCTGTCTGTGGTCCCTCTGTATCAGCAAACCCCCCCAGGTAGAGTTAAAAACAGGTTCCAAGAGGCTCGCTCTGTGAAGAGAGAGAGGGAGATGCAGAAGAAGAAAGAGGGTGAGAGGGAGGACTCTGAGAGGTGGGCACTGAGAGAGAGAGCGTGATTCTAAGCAGAAGTAGAGGAATGCAAAAAAAAAAGTCCACGCTGGATTTGAAAGGAGGACTGCGCTAAACTGAACACCACGCTATTTATAACATTTATTTGAGAAGAAAAAAAACTGCAAAAAGCAGCCAACGCATTACGTGGAGAGGTCTGCAGGAGTGTCTCAGAGAGTTAACCCTGCACAGGCTGGGCTCTTCCACCTGTACCAGCCTGTAGTTCAGAAGTGGCCCGTTACGTGGGATGTCATCAGAATGAGGCTGCGATGAGGATGTTCGTCCTTGTTGATCATGCTTCCGGAAAGGGGTGGCGAGTGGTGATTGGACCCATTTCATACTCTGTGCTGGGCAACACACCCTGTACCCTTAACCGGTGCAAAAACAGTTCAACCTAGAAAAAAAAAGAAAACTTGACAAGCCTCTGGAATTTCCTCAATACGAAGTTCCCTTTAATGTGTTGAGTCTGGCACCCTGGGCTCTGTCTTGCAGACATTTTTGTCGTTCCTATGTCTGCGGCGAGAGAGAGAGAATTTCTTCTATATGTATATGGATTTTTTTTTGTTTAATCAGGTGCAGGTGCCTCTTCTTGAGGGCCAGAGGAGATGCTGCTTCTGGGTAAAATAAATGGATGGATTTCTGTGCTAAAAGCCCTATGTGGCACCTGCCACCAGCACAGGAACTGTGGGCACCGTGTGTCGCTGTACCTATGACCAGAAGGTCCCAGGTTCTAATCTCAGGCTCAGCAGAATTATGTCACCTTCAGACCCTTGATCAATGCCCTTAACACTAATTGCTCTAAGGACTGACTGACCATGCTTTTTCAGTTTATGCTTTGGATAAAAATGTCTCAGATGCTTGATGTAGACGTCAGAAGACGCAGTCAGGCTGTAGTATCCTGGTATAAGCAGACAGATAAAGTACAGAAAGGTGAAGACGCTGGGAAAGCTCCGGTTAAAGGAAAACACCAGGAGTTGATTTTACCTCTGAAGCATCGTAGCCACTGATGTATTTATGAGCCATGATCACAGCTCGCAGGACAGCTGGAATCTTGTGCTTGCTCAACAAATTTGACATTTCAATGGGAATGTGTCTCTGGGTCCTACAGGTGAACAGACCTCTCATTCCCTTGGATTCCACACTTTACAGCCCGGCTGCCTTTTGCCCACTGAGTCTGTTGTGTTCAGCTCTTTTCACACCCAGCGGAAAGATAATTTTCTCCAAGGAACAAGACGTGTTTGTCTGGTTCAGTCAGCACTATATCCTGGAGTTTTTTTAGATTTCCATATACAAGGTATTGTGGTGTATCGAGCAAGTTGCTCTACTGACATATTCTCAGGCATGCTGCGGTTGTCCCTGCAGTATTGATACTGTCCTGGACCTTGGACACACGCACCCTTTTCCAAGCCAGAAGGTCTATTTAGTGAAAAGAAAAGAGGGGCTGAGGACCGACAGGTCAACAAGGGGTCAGGCAGAGATATTCAGATCCCATTGTGAGACAGCCACCCAAAAACTGAAATAATAAACTGTACAAGTACAAGTCTGCTGATCTCCAGAGCTGGTCACCTGAGACAGACTGGCATTAGGCAGGAGGACAGACCAGTGTAGCCTGGAGCTGTACCACTTCTCAGTTATGCATCAGATATTTCACCATCCTGATACCCAGCCCTCACGGTCCTGCCATGGCTTCAAATGCTAATATACTGCTGTCCTCCATAAGATAGATTATGTCGGGTTACTTGTTTTGATATATAGATTTATTCCTATTGGCAATAAGGAAAGTTGTGCCATGCAGAAGGACCTAGATGCTTGCAGTGCCTATTTGGCAGCTGTGGCCCCCTGTTCAGTTTAATTTAGGGAACAAACACAGACATATTACAGCCGTGTAAAGCCTTTGTTTCTGCATTCTGATGCAGAGCCCTGCCCCAACAGCAGCAATTAGGATGCAGTTACCAAAAAGGTGTCTTTGCCCCAAACCACAATTTTAACACTTTCAAGAGGCTTGATACTTCAGCAATTCAAGTTGCTTGCCCTCCTGAAGGATACTACAGCAGGCACTTAAACCAGTAACCATGCCAGAGTCTTTAACCACTCTGGTGCCCATTATGACTCTAACGGCATAACTACTCAAGGGTGAGAGCAATATAGGCACAAAAGTGGCACAGCGTTCAGAGAGATGGCAGAAGCGTACAAATGGGATCCTGGACAGCTGAGTATGTCGTCTCACTTGATCCTTACAGGAATGTGATATTTCATAGGAAGAAGCGGGCAAGGTCCGGCGGATTGGGGATGTTAAGGCTTGTCAGTATGAGGGCTTTAGCACAACACACCACTGAATCCAGAACTAACATTCTATGTTTGTCATATGTTATAACTATGGATATTAATCCTCTGTTAATTGTTAGACATCACAATCACTGCTCGAGAGTCCATGGATTATGCTGCGGATTTCCCCTTTAGTTATAAATGAAAATCACCTGGAAACTATCACGTGGTACATTGCAATTCTCTCACTCCAGCTGGTTGTAATATTCACACTTAGGCCTGGATTGCACATATATTTTTCTGTTTTTAATAAAATTGTGCCACATATTCTTTTGGCATAATTAAGGAGACCTACAAAAACTAGGAACATTTTTTCCACTTTAGGGTCTGGGAAAATTAGATTAATGATGAGCATAAACATTTGGGGGAAAAACAGTCGTAAAGACATTTTGTATGCAAACTGTGCTTGTAATTAAAACTGAAGCCAGTTAACTCCCAGTCTTGGCAGAGTATAACTCTCAGGTTGTGTAATATGAGTTTGAGGAGACCTTGACCAGAGAGTAAACTTCACATATCTTCCGGTCACCGCCCTTTGTCTGCTGTGAATGGACAGTGGAAAAAGAATTTTTTTTTTGCAAAGCAGAGGATCTACAAATGAGAGCAAAACAAGGTGCGTGCCAGCAAAGTGGCTTCTAAGGTCAGCGTGATGAGTCATAACTACGCTCTCGTCCAAGGGCCTCCTGTTTGTTTGTTGGACAAGCTGACTCTATATGGACCCGCCCTCAAGTCTGGGAGGAAAAGGAGCGGGTCTGGGTGGCGGCGGGCTGGGAGGAAGAGGAGAGGGCCTGGGTGTTGGCGGGCTGGGAGGAAGAGAAGCGGGCCTGGGTGGTGACAGACTGGGAGGAAAAGGAGCAGGCCTGGAGGAAGAGGAGCGGGCCTGGGTGGTGGCAGGCCGGGAGGAAGAGGAGCGGGTCTGGGTGGTGACAGACTGGGAGGAAAAGGAGCAGGCCTGGAGGAAGAGGAGCGGGTCTGGGTGGTGGCAGGCCGGGAGGAAGAGGAGCGGGTCTGGGTGGTGACAGACGGAGGAAAAGGAGCAGGCCGGGAGGAAGAGCAGCAGGTCTGGGTGGTGACAGACTGGGAGGAAAAGGAGCAGGCCTGGAGGAAGAGGAGTGGGCCTGGGTGGCAGCAGGCCGGGAGGAAGAGGAGCGGACCTGGGTGGCCACAGGCCGGGAGGAAGAGGAGCAGGCCTGGGTGGCCGCAGGCCGGGAGGAAGAGGAGCGGACCTGGGTGACGACGGGCCGGGAGAAGCCAGACTCCCACCATCTGCAGGGTAAGAATGTCTTGAATGCAGTGGGTCCAAGCTAAGTATGCAGGTGGTATGGTGGTTAAGTAACCACACTTAAAAGAACTGCTCCCTACTCTTGTAACCCTGCACAAGGCTGGGGAATGTAGCCGGAATCACCCCAGCAGGTATGCAGCTGTCTGAGCCAGGCTGGTCCCTCTGAGTAGGAACAGCCAGACAACACAAAAGAAGCTCTGTTAAGGTACCCACAAATATTCAAATGTTTGCCCAGACCTGGCCTGGTTTTTATATATACACTCTTTATTTAGCTCTTGAATAGGCTGTGATCTTGTAATAGATACAGAATAGCCATTCCTTCGGGGTCACAGGGAGTTCTGGTTTTCACCATTTCTCTGCTTCTGCTTGCTTTGCTGAAATCGGCAGTGGGACAATAAAAAAGGTTTAACTAGGGAGATGCTGCTCCAGCAGGAGGGGCGACGCCGGGGAGCCACGCTGACCCTAACAGCAGGGCTATTCAGTCCAGCGTTTGTCTGCTTTTACCATGAGAACACAGTCACTGACCACTGGTACCAGTGACAACTTGCTTCATGGGCCCAGCTCCTTGCTGTAATTTCCCCAACCTGCGCACATGGCTACTGGGAAATGTCCCACCCCAGCTGGGCCAGATCTGGGAGGGACTGGGGTGTGGAGCAAGAAATGCAGCCCCAGGTAGCCTGGCAGACCATTGGAGCGGCAGTGCTGTAAGGACTATGATTCTTTGTGCAAGGGTCCAAATCACAGCACCGGACATTTCTGTATATGCCCCAGTAGGTCCATCACTTACAAGAATGTAAGTCAATTTGGATTTTTAAAGGGCTGAGAAAATATACAATTCTGTGATACTTTTTTAAATACGATTTATAGACCTGATTCATGTCTATTGGCATCAGTGGCAGATATGACTGGCAAGTATCCACTGACTGAGTGGAGCACGCTCTGTTGATTTAGGGTCTCTGTTCGTAATAACATGTTACTATTACATACTGTAGCACCACATATCATCGGACCCTGACAACCAAACCACAAATTTAATGCTGCTAACAACGACAACAACAATAAACTTTACGAGGACTGTCCATTCCCAGATACCATTCCAATGCGCTACAGTGGCCAGAGACCAGAGGAACGGGCTCCCCCTAGTGGCACATCCGGATGGTGTAGCAGCCATTCAATGGCTCACCTGAGTAAACAAACACACTGGACATTTCTTGGGGCTCAGATATTGCAGTTATGTTATTACATTTTACTAATTGACACCACATTGACTATATTCATTATAAGTAGAGAAATGACAATGCTGACATCGATTGTGTTTTAAATCGGTACGTCGCCGATACATTTTTCTAAGAGGGTTTCACTTCTGTCAGTCTGTCCTTGTTTTTCAACGCATACAAATGTCATTGTTTCATCAAATCCTCTATTGGTCCTGCAGTTTTTCCCCCACATTCCATCCTGATAGGTCTGTATATCCAACTGTTAGCCAATGCATAGAGTTAAGGGGAGAAGGGGCACCGTCGACGCTTCGATCTAATCGGAAGCGATCACGATCCGCTGTCTGACGCCTCGGGTAATGGGATCCCCAGCGCGGTCTGGGTGTGGCCCTGCAGCTGCTGCTTCGCCTGTTCCACCTGCTCTTGAGTGCAGCAGTCCATCAGGAAGACGATGGCCAAATTTCGCAATCGAGGGCTCCGGGAAAGCGAGAAGCGCAGCATGCACTGCAGCACCGCGTCGCAGGAGGCGAGTGGGCGCGTATCGGTGACAGCCAGGTTCATCAGCGTGCCAATGGCCGACAGCACAGTCTCTTCACGCCGACTAGACAGGCAGCCCGTCACCAGCTCCACGCCCCCGCTCTGCACGATCTGGTCACAACAGTCGCGGTCCGCACTGAGGTTGCACAAGCCTCCTGCGGGCCACGCAATAGAAGCAAATTAACAGGCATAAAATGAGCAAAATCAGGCATCGGAAACCCAAGGGCAAACCTCCTGGCACATGCTAAAGGTACTGCACAAAATCGTATTTCAAACACGCGGAGGTTAATGACATTTGGAAATGATCATCAATGGCTGCCCCAGTAATGATAACCGTCGTAGTTTTATCCTCACGCACCAATGCCAAACTCCACCAGGTTGTCGCTCTCCTCCGTCAACATGTCCAGAAAAAGTTCGGTCACTTGCAGCCTCTTGAGATCCTCCACATTCCTTGGATCATATGAGAAATTGGCCAGGTTCGCTAGAACCTGTTCTCTGGCTTCTATAAAGGAGTCAGAGGAAAGTGATTTATTAGAAATATACCAGTAAACAGTGAATGCACTCACTGACGTCAGGCACAGAACGATGGTCTTGTACCAAGTAACTTTAACCATTAAATAACAGTTTTGCGTGCGCTGCTACGGTCATACTCGAAAACCAAAAAATCAAAGTGACGCACCTTCACTATCGGTGTCCTGGAACTCGGTGACCAGCGCCTGTAAGTATTCAGAGCGATCCGACGCCGAGAAACGGCGCCGTCGCGACATTTTCCGGACTGGATTTAGCCTGTCACACAGGAAGGCAGCTTGTGGTCATTCTATGTTACCATTAACTCTGCTGAATTGCCTCTAAAAGAGCCGAACCGAACCGCACGGCACCAACAGAACCTGCCGCTGAAGTTTTTTGCTCAATCGGTCCGTCTTGGAAACTCGTCCCTACTGCGACAAAATGAAATACATTCAGGATCCGGTTTTACTCAGCTCTTACTGATTTCCTTTTACACACTCCCCGGTCATATTCAGAATTATCGTGTTAATTTTTATATTTTCAGAATTAAATAAAACTTTAAGCAATATCTTCTACTTTGTTAAATTATTTTATCACCGTTACGTCTAATTGCGGAAATGTATTATACAAATTTATCTAAGATTATATAAAGTCATCAGCTCTATAAAAGTATTACGTGAATTATTGCATTGCTTTACAGACTTCATGTTATCCTTTTTTACAACATACTAACCTATTAGCTATTAAAACATACGGCATAAATGTTAACATTAATATATGTCTTACTTATTGCGACATTTGTTTTAGTTTAAGCTAAAAAGAAATGGCGGGTGTTAAATGGAAATGAGCATGAGTTCCGGGGAACATGTTTTTGTGACGCCGGAAATGAAATAAAATCACACCCACAGCGCTGCAACAGGTACACTGCTTGGGGTCAGGGCTCTTGGCGCTTGTGCGTACGTGACCGAAGGAGTGTACACTTCAGACAAGCTAAGTAATGAACATTTAAATTTCATTTCAGGTGCTTAGAGATCCGCCATGAATCAGCATAAATTGTCCACCAGAAAGAGATTAAACAAACCGATTCTTTTTGGAACACTACTACTTGGACTGGCTGCTGTGTTCGTCAATAGGTGAGAAATTACCGTGCAGAATAACGGGCGCCACACTCCAGGGTGCAGTCTACTCTCGCTTTTTAAATAGTTTTTGACTGGAACAGTGGCGGACTAACTTCTTTGGGGGGCCCAGGCTCACATAAAATTGACCAATCGAGGTCATTTTGGAGCCGAAAGAGAAACGACGAGGTATTAAGGAACGTCAATAATTTGCCAAAGAACGGGAGGAGGGTATTGCGCCGGCGGATTGACCGACCAAATTTAAGATATATTATTATGGATTATAATAATTTAACCAAAATTGTTATATAGATTGTTTGGAGTAGACATTTGATCTATGTGTTTTGTTACAAAAAAGTGGAGATAAGTAGGGGGCCCTTTTAGAGTGGGGGCCCAAGGTTGTAACCCCCAGGGTTAGGGTTTTTCAGGGTTTCTTGCTCAAGGTGATGTGACTGTGTTACCAAGCACGAGATTTGAACCAAGGACCTTCTGATGACAGGGACGGAGGCCTAACCCACTGAGCTCCTAAAAGGATACCCCACCCTCCCTGTCAGGCAGTGGTGGAATGTAACAAAGTATTTGTACTTCATTACTGTACTTAAGTACATTTTTACATATCTGTACTTAAGTAAAAATAATAATGCATACTTTTTATTTTACTCCATTACATTTTGTGGCAATTATCTGTACTTTTCTGTACTACATTTCTACAATTTATGCCGTTAGTTGTTACATTTTATGAACACAATTTCCTCAAAATCTTGCATGAAAAAATAGTTAGCCTATTGCATTCTGGCGTTGTTTGCCATTTCCTACCAATCAGGTGGCTTTATTAGCTCCAATGATGGCAGAGCGCACGTCAGTTAGCAGCATGAACTGATAGACTGGCTTGATTTCAAGAAGACGAGACATTCAACATGGACCCAGAGCCAATACACATATACTGTATAGTTGCTTGTAATTATAAGGAGCAATGACATCGGTAGAGGCGTAAGTCCGTATATCTACTATTCTTTTACAAAATGGCACACCCCAGACGTTGAGACAAACCATTGTGTGAGTACTTTTATTAAAAAAAAAAAAAAAAATACTTTAAAGTAAATTTAAAAGTACTTAGTACTTTCACTTAAGTAAGATTGTTGATGTAGCACTTTTACTTTTACTTGAGTACATATTTTGCTGAATATTTGTACTTTTACTTAAGTACTAAGCTTCAGTACTTCCTCCACCACTGCTGTCGGGGAATCCCGTCTCTCGTGAGACATACTCATTACTGGACAAATAAGGAGATGGCTGTGAGAAACTTTCACATAGCATTTCTGAAAGGACATTTTTTATTTAGCAGTCTGATTCTTCAATTAATTGTATATTTGTACAGTGGTTATTATGTGAAAATATTGATAAGTTATATTGGAAGTACATAGGCACCAGTAAAACACACTGTTACACGTTTACCCTCCATCAGACAGGCGTTCTTCTCAGACGTGGCAGAGATCCGAGCTCAGGAACAGGCTCGGAACGAGGCTAAGCGGCTGGAGGTTCTCAGGAGGAGGGAGAGACAGATGGACGAGCTGGACGAGAAAAAGCATCAGACAGGCAGGTGAGGGCGTGGCGAGTGTCCCGCAGGGGGATGGGAGCGAGACCGACGACTGTGGAGATCCATCAGCTGAGGAGGACATTATGACAGAACATCGTGCGATTGCTGTGAAAAGGACAATGTCGCTGAAGAATCAATGCAAAGGGAATCCGGGTTCAACTGAAGCTCTGTGCCACGTGTATCAATCGGTGTTGCCTAATTATCTATGTCAAATGAAGAAATACGTGTTTTTGGAAAAAGTTTGAATAAACTGAGACACCTCTGCAAAAGAAAGCACGTGCTCTTTCACGATTCGGTAACCAAGGCATGCCGCTCTGTTCTCAAGTGGCTGTATATGCAGTAAACATTTTTGTTCGTAAAAGACTACTACATTCTTTTATCGGGTTGCTTCTTTCCTTTAGACACGTTTGCTGACTTGTATTGGAATACTGCTGAAAAATTCTTGAGACACTGCTGAAATTTGTCGAGTTTCCATGGGAATTCACCCATATGCTTCATTTGACGCTTGCTGCCATTAAATCAGTGTTAAAGGAAGCAGCCGCTAGAGGGCAGCATTGGTCATATCTATCTGTATGAGCGGACGCGCAGCATACGGTATCAACAGGTGGCGTGTAAGTGTGTGAAACTGCTTCGTGGTTTATCATCTCCAGAGAAGTGGCCATTTAAACTTGTGTGTATTGCGCCTACAACAGACATGTAGAAACCATAGTGCCACATCAGACACCAGGCTCAGATACCAGAATAAGACATCCCTTGCTTTTTAAATACAGTATTTTATTAACTTTTGAGCTTTACAGTATGATAGATGCACTTTAACATTGTGCACTTTTCCATTTCAATCCATGCAGAGTCTCTAATATAAATAATCCCATTACTGCTACGGCCGTATTTTACACGCGTGTTTGCATTTATACACGTGCGTGTGTGCGCACACACATCACACACAGTTATCGGACATCATATAAGCAGAGCGATAGATAGTACAGCATGTAACTTAACAGTGACTGGTCGGAGCTTTATGAACAAAATGAGGTGTCATGCAAGGGTCAGAAACCTGTTACAGGAAAATCATTCTGTGGCAGGAATGAGTGAAACTCACCCAGTGCTAGACCACAGCTGAAGGCACATAGATAACTGCAGAAATGAAACTGGGAGGTGAAGGAATCAAAGGTGACATTAATAAAAGAGCCCAGAGTGACGCCCTTTACATTACGGTGAATTCACTTATAGGGTCACACTCCCAACATCTTTGGTCTGAACAGGCAGATCAGTTATCTGGACAGTCTCCATTGCGAAAGCAACGAATACCAGAGACGCACAGGACCACAAAGCGGTCTGCACAGGACCACAAAGCGGTCTGCACAGGACCACAAAGCGGTCTGCACAGGACCACAAAGCGGTCTGCGAACATCTGTGGAGCAGGATAGTGGGGGGCAGCCACACTCTGGAAAGGCTTTTCCTGTGAGCCCTGTGAGGCCGGAGATCCGCCCCCACCCTCGTAGACAGTGATGCGTCTTACTGAGGCTCACCCCTAATTTCAGACCACCAAGGTGTAAAACCATACAGAATAAGGCAGCCCCCACCCCCTCCCACCACGCAGTGGTAAACCAAACAACAGAAACAGAAACTGCGTGCAACAAAAGTGCAGTTTACAGCGCAAACCAGGAACAGTGTGCGCGAGAGCATTAGCGTGGTCGACATACACATAGTGTACACACATGCAATCCCGTGTGGGGGGGCCCAGGGACTGGTATGGGGGGGCAGGGGAGAGGAGCCCCTGCTTCAGTTTTCCATCTCCTTAACTGCGCTTGTCCCGTGAGGTTCTGTGGTATCTGAGGGGGGCCCTTCATCACACGCTGAGAGGCAGCAGGCCGGGGGGCGACGCTGAGTGGGGAGCCGCTTTCATGGCTGCCAGGGGGCCGGCTTCCAGTCTGCTCATTGGCCTGCACAGCACAGCGTGGGGAGGGGGTTATGGCACAGACTCCCCATGCCTAAATGAAGCTCAGCACACTTTACATCCAGACACTAAAGAGGCAATCAGGCTCTAAAGCGACCAAGAAACACTTGCATGATCAAGCTAAAGGGGCTGGTTGTGGGTGCACTGCTCATGCGCGGGTGCTGCTGCTGGGCCTCGACACGCCGCCGCCGAGCCTTCAACGCACTGCCTCGACGCCGCCGACAGGCTTCGGAGCTCTGCCTCGACACGCCACCGACGAGCCTTCAACGCACCGCCTCGACACGCCGCCAACAGGCCTCAGCACGTCGCCTTGATACGCCGCCGACGGGCTTCGGAGCTCCGCCTCGACACGCTGCCGACGAACCTTCAACGCATCGCCTCGATACGCCGCTGACAGGCCTCAGCACGTCGCCTCGATACGCCGCCGACGGGCTTCGCAGCTCCGCCTCGATACGCCGCCAACGGGCCTTGAAGCTCCTCCTTGACATGCTGCCTAAACACGTTGCCAATTGGCCATTACACGGCCATGACGCACCGCCAATGGGTCTTTACACACCACTGATGCTGTTTATACGAGGGGAAGCCTGTCTGAATGCACTACCAGCCACGGTCATACACAGTGGGCACGTTGAGACACACTTACTAACATAGTGGCCTGAGCCAGCCTCCATATGTCCATCCCACATTCCCAGCCCTGTCTTGGTCCCTGCTGACCCAGCCTGCTTCATACTGAGACCGTTCCTCAGCACCCTAACTGCTTTTGGGCGATGCTCCTGCATGGAGGGTCTCCAAGGATTCCATGGGCTCGCTGTGGATCAGGATCAGCATCCCCCGCACTCACCCCTAGCCTGTCCGGCTTCTCTGGGAGGGGTATCAGGCTTTTTCAGGTGGGTTTTTCCTGAGAGCTCCTAATGAATAGGTAGGCTGGACTCCACAACCACACCAGAATAGGGCAGATCTGTCAGCCTACTGCTAGCCTAGTACTGATACTGTAGGTCTGATCATTTTCAAGGCCTTGGCTGTGTCCGAAGTCAGGGGCAGCATCCTTTTAAGGCTATTATCAAAGGCCGACTGCATCACATCGGCGTGACCATGCTGTCCCATTTCGAAGGCTCCTTCAAATGCGGTCGAAAAGTATATTCGTTTGCTAGGCGTGAAGGATGCACCCAAAGGATCTTTTACAGCCCAACATATCCCAATATTCATTGCGCAGAGGTAAAGTGGGCGTGTCCAGGCTGGGCGATGGAGGTGACGCTTTGTGATTAAAGGGCAGGAACAGCGTATGACACAAATAGGAAATTATCCGTAGGCCAGACCATACCATGTGACAACGCTTTCTGTTTGACCACTGAAGAACACAGCCTGCAAAGGGTACCCCCCCCTGAATGCAGCCCCTGAATTCGGACACAGCCATTTTGCTAGGAAGAGGCCCCGCAGCATCCGTCCACACCATGCAGCTGTCCCTGGGGTGACACGATTCAAGCAGCAGACAGACCCTCTCCCAGAGCAGTGTTAGGTAGCTTAGATATGCTCTACCACCCAGGCCATTAGTACAGATTACTGCATCTACCCTAAAGACTGCGGAACCCAGCTCTACTCCGCATGCACGGATGGCGTTGGTGGGACATTTACCGAGAACAAGTGCTGGGAAAAAGACCTTCTCCTTCCTGCTGGGAGAGAGACAGGGTGAAACAGAGGCTTTGGCACTACGAGGCCCTCATGTTAATTACAAGGTCACAGCTAGGGGAGGGGGCACCCATTACCATTGGGGGCTGGAACAGAGTGGCCGTGGTATGGAAGATGTGTGTGTCAGGTGGTGGGGGGGGATTCACTCACGCTTTGTCGAAGTAGGTGGTGTGGATGGGGTGCGAGAACTTGGTGGCGTTGCCATTGGGCATGCTGGTGCTCCCTGCCATATAGCTCCGCTTCGCTGCCTGGTCCTTGGCGAAGTTCCGACACGCCGCCAGCTTGGACTCCAGCGCCTGGAGGGATGGACAGGGCGACCCAGGGCGCCCCCTACAGCTCACATCCTGTCACACATCTTATGTCCTAGTGGACTGATGAACAGACTAAAGAGGTGGATGTTTCAGTAACTGTATAGAACAGAATTCAGTTTTCTCTATTAGGGCTGATAATTCAGGTAGGTAACCAACTACCAGCAAATCTGGAGGAATATTACACATCTAATTATGACCATCAATCTCTTCTTCAACTGAGAGAAATGCCCATCGCACTCACCCCTACTTTCCGCAGGAGATCACCGACTATATTGAGAGCTGATACTCTGGCCGATGACGTTAACGGTGAGTTATTGCAGCCATTGGTGAGCACTAGGAGCAAGAAAACTGTCATCATCATCATCATCACCATCATCATGGACACAGACCTCATTTCCGCCAATGTGGAGCCAGTGCTAGAGCTGGGCTCATTCTCACTCTGTGCCTTTTGAAAACTGGCCTGCGTTTCCACTGGCTTCAAAAATGACCGGAACGAAAACGTTACATAGACGAACGTGAGAGTAAAGTCCTCCGATGTGAACGGTCCCCTTGCGCCTTGTTCTATATACAATATTGTTTCTTATGAGGCCAATAATAACGTCAATCAGCATTAATAATTCACTGCGATTGTTCTAAAAACAATGGGTATGTAACATTCTTGATTTATAATAAAAAAAAATTCATTTTATGCAACTGATTTGACGAATACGTAACCTGATTACTATTAGCTACACAAATCCTTTATACGATGCTTTTACAAATATTTTTATTGCTGCTGTGAATGTTGCAGTTAGTAGGTTTAGTAGCCAGTGCCGCATCCACTGACGTTATGGTTCCAGACCAGCTTTTCTGTGGTGCCGTGCTGGAGCTATCACGTTCTGCCCCAGGGCCAGTTTTTTGCCATGGAAACGCATGTAACCAGCTCCGGATTGGGAAAAAGCCCGGCACCAGCACCACATTGTTGGATACTGGGTAACAGAGCACTGGGGGAGGGGCTTAAGAGGCACCCGCTAGCTTAAGTACTTCAGCATCGAGAAACATCAGGCTGAGTGCAGACCTGTGCTGCTGGTGAAGACACTGTCCATGTTCTTGCAGAGGGGCGTGGCCGGCAGCGACAGCGAGGCCTGGACGCCAGAGTCTGTCTTGTCACTGTCAGGCGTGGGCGAGCTGGGAGCCGACATGCGCGTGTCGGTCTGTCGCTCGCGTACAGCCAGCTCCTGACGCAGGTCTGCAGGATGGACGGGGGGACATCAGCCTGCCAGCAAGCTAACATGACGCATCACGACGTCTGTGGGCGTCACAGGCCATAACATTCTGAAGCAGAAATGAGTGTTTCCAAGTGTCCACCGGCTCCCTCAGGGAGTCACATGACCAGGAGGGCCCTCGTCACATCGGTCTACAGTACGAGAGACCAATAAACACAAAGCTGCCTGGCAATCATGTCAGATGGAGCGTGCATGCGGGTGGTCAGCGTGCGCCTCAGCTCTGAGGCGGCCCGTCGCTATAGCAGTGCTGCGTCACGCCTCGGTGCCTCAGCTACCTCTGGCCTCGTCTTTCAGTCTCTGCACAGACACCAGCAGGGACTCCTTCTCGTCCAGCTCGCTCTCCAGAAAGGCATTCCTCTCGATGGCCTGGTTCAGCCGCTGCTCAAAGTCCTCCAGTGAGACAATCGTCGCCCTGGATGCCCGGAAGGAAGACCTCTCAGAGATCATGTGACATGCCACGGAGCACTGAGCTCAAGCTACAGCCCACTCTACTCGGGGCGAGAAACAGAATCATACACATAACACTACACTGCCCTGGAGCTGCCAATATCCGGCTGAGCCGGTCAGAGCGGGCCTCCCCAGAACCTCCCCCAGGATTCCCAGCCAGAATGGCAGAGCCCGGCCTGACCTCTTGGCCCTCTCCAGGTCGTCGTTGGCCTGCTCCAGCTCCCGCACGTATTTATGCAGCTGCTCCTTGATGCCTTGCGTCTGGCCCAGTTTGTCCTCCAACACGGAGATCTGCTTGTAGCTCTGGGCGTACTGCTGCTCCAGCTTCTCCTGAAGGGGAGTACAGAGGGCAGTGAGGGTGGGAGTACAGCTCGGGAGGTAAACAATGCCGCCTGCCCCCAGATCACGAGGGAGACATGTGTATGTCCTAGTGTGGCACTGAGAGTGCCCCCCCTCCCCCCACCCCAGTTAGCTTGAAGGCCTTTTAAAGCCCGACTGACACCAGCCCAGGATCTTCACCACTCCCTTCCTCTGGTTTACGCTCCCATTGCACTTAATGTTCCAGGCCCAGTCACGCTATTGTCATCACTGTGCGACTTTCAGTGTTGAAGCAAACATAGGAAGAAAAGTGCCATCGCACAGCACAATGGAGTTCATGATTAAGGTCCTTAATTTGTGGCTTATTCTGAGTGGTTTTGGGTGGATGACACACAGCCCTCTATAGACAGAGTATGAAATGCATCTTGCTACACGAATAAGGCGGTTTTTATGGAGGCATCTGACACTGAGGGAGGAGGTTGGCAGCCTTTGTGTGTCACATCCAGTTGTTCCTGGATACCGTCAGTCCAGATTTCCAGTAAACACTGCACTCCTGTCCAGTACAACACGATCACACTAGTGAAACACGCTCGGGAACGGTATGGACTGGCTAGTGTGGATAGATCCTAAGTCTGACAGCTTGCTATTGCAGTACCTGTCCACCGGGTGGCAGCACATCCTACCTTCAGGGCCTCAGCCTCGCTCTTCAGCCTCTGGTTCTCTGTCTGCAGGTCTCGTATCCGGTGCTCTGCCTGGCCGAGCTGGGCCTCCAGCTCAGCTTCAAGCTCCCGACTGCCCTCCTGGAACTCTAGCAGCTCCTCCTGGGCCTCCTGGTAACTATGGGGAGTCAGGGGGGGGGGCAGAGAGAGAGCCAGCCCGTCGTCAGAGAAGAGCGATTACAGTATGGAACATGGACGAGGTGAGGCAGTGACCAAATCAAGCGCCCTGAATCTGCACACAGGCCACATTCCACATCCCATCCCTCCTAAAACAGCCCATCACTCACGGGGCCTAAGCCCACCAAGGATGTGGCTGTGCATCCTTCTCTGGACAGACACTGGCTGATCTGGTTCAGGCTGCTGTACTGGACCCAGTAAGAGTCCCGGGCTTTATGCAGACTGTCAGATTGTGTGCAAAGCATTATGGGACACTAAATACCAGGTTTGTTTACTGCGGGAGGGCCGTACTGCAGCTGGAGTCTGTACGCAGCCTGCAGACGGCTAATTAGAGAGCAGCTATAAAAAGCAGGCGTGTGACAGAAGGCGGAAGGGCTGGCGGACCAGAGAGCTGGGGCACCTTGGAGCTGCTGGGGCGGAAGGCGGTGGGGGGCCCATCACACGGCGCTTAAAATGCACAGGGGAGCAGGACCGGCCTCTAACAAGCATCAGCGGCACGCTATAAACCGCTACACTGCTCACTCCAAAGCTCCAGTCTGCGTGCATGTATGCGCACGCGCGCACACGCGCGCACACACACACACACACACACACACACACACACGCGCACGCACACAACCTTCAGCCTTTCACTGAAATGAGTCTCCAGTACCCTCCCCTCATGCACTGTTGGAGCCCAAAGTGTGGACAACAGTTAGAACTGCTTAAGGTATCTGCTGGGATGTTTGTACAGATGAGGGTTGATCTCAACCCTGGTCCAGTCAGTCACATGACTAATTTGTGTTGAGGTCCCCCAACAGCCCCCCCACCCCCACACACACACCACACACACACACACACACACACACACACACACACACACACACACACACACGGGGGGGGTCATCTTGTTTCAGATTAGCTTCACATTTCGCAAGGCCACTCAAACCCACTGAACTACAGATAGACTTCAAAGCCCCCCGCCTCTTAAAGAGAAACATAGGAATCAGATTTCTAGAGACAGACTCAAAGGACTTGCAAAGAGAACTCCTTCACGGCACCGACACGGGTCAATAACACAAGCTTACCGACACAGAGCTTGGGCCAGTTGGTGTGACCTCTCAATCGAGGACAACCGATCGCCTGAGGTCACACAGAGGAACGTAACCCCTCCTCTACATCAACGCACAGCCAGCACAAGACCACAGGCCTGAGGCCTTTATACAAAATCTGGGGCTTTGTGACAAGGTTCCTGCCAGCTCATGGTGGAACCACAGTCCTCAAGAGACAATGGCAGAGTGGGGGGGGGGTCTCCGAGTGGCTGCTGGGATCAGCTGCATGATTCTGTACTCTTAGGACATTGACCAGCTCCTCAATCATCAGGCTTATCAAAAAGATGAAGAAACAGTCTGTTGGTGTGTGTCTGCAGGCCGCAGGGTCTGACTTACCTCTGCATGTTCTGGTGGGAGAGGGCCTTCCAGTACTCAATCTCCTCATCTTTGCAGGAAAATTTCGGTACAATCTCGGTGTCCATGGTTGGCAAACCTGTGAGCATTTGACAGTTAAGCTCCAACACGCAAATGTATGCACATGCATGGCTGGACACAAGCACAGGCTTCTAGAAGAGCAGACTCATGGATGTGTATGCAGCTCTCCTTGCCCAACAACCTGAGGTCGTCCTCAGCTGACAGACACCCAGCCTTCCCCTGGAGCTACATTTAGCCATTGCCCCCCACCTGACCTTGTGTTACAGAGACATCATGTCCCAGGGACAGGAAAAGTTGTTGTCCATATGACCCCAAGAGGCAGGACTAACGCACCCCCCCCTTCCTATGCTGTCACAGCCTCAAAGCTGACATGTGCTGACTTTAACCGATCTATTTTTAAACACAAGCAACACCTGCCCCACTCAGAAGCAGACATGCAAATTCAAAACTGCACTTCATTCTGTCAATAAAGAGAGAGAGAGGGGGAGAAGGAGCAAGCGAGAGACAAAAAGAGGGCGAGAGAGGGAGCAAGCGAGAGAGAGAGAGAGAAGGTGAGAGAGGGAGAGGGAATGAGAGAGAGAGGGCGAGAGAGGGCGGGAGAGTGAGTAAGTTTCCACTTTGGAGGTGAAAGGTGAGTTGTGCAGCCAAGCAAATCAGCGACAGGAAGGTCATTTTGGCTACGCCGACACGGGACCTGCAGAGCTAATGTCAGGCCCTGCTCTGCACAGAGGAGGCAAAGCAGAGCCACGCTTCACCCTCTCCTGCTGCTCACCTGGTAGGTGGTACCCAGCACACTTTGCTTTGGAGGTGCCGCACAACACATGTGGCCGTCGATCCCTATATCTAAGGAAAGTTACAGGACCAAACTCCGACGCCTTTCTGCTTGCTAGCAGAGCCGCTGCCTCAGACGCAGGGTATGCTGCCCCCCTCCCCGCAGCTGCAGACTCCAGCCGCTCGCATCCTCATGCTGTAATGGGGGGCCTCCCCGCCCCTCCCCGCCCCTCGCATTGAACACTTCGGCTTGGACATCTGCCGTGCCCCTGGGCCTGGTCCCCAGTGAGCTTCAGCACGGGACCGCAGAATGAATCAATGCCCTCCAAGCAGCTAAGACACACGAGGGCCACGTCCTCCCCCAAGCCACGCTTCAGATTACAGTCTTACGGATTCTACCTGGAGCACAAGATGAGGGGATCAGAGGAAATAAACTAATCAAGAGCGTTGATTACTCTCAGACTCGGCTGCAGAAGCGTGCTCACAGAGGCCTCGCCGTGGTGGCGGTGAGGGCAACATGACATTCCTGTCACCAAAGAATGGTTGAATCAGCACGTGGGAAGGGATGACAGGCCAATGATGTCATTGTGTACACTCACTGCACCACGCAGAACACCACCCTGAACAAAGACGACAATCTCACACCCAGGAGCATGACAGAGCAGTACCCATACCACCAGAGACAGGCAGGTGTAACCTTGTGCCGGGACACCAGTCACATGACCTTGTCCGCGGTGTCTCGTGTTCCGACATTCCTGCACGCACTTCTCACATTCCTGCACACATGCAGGAGACACTCACAGGGTTACTGCTCACAGAGAGAAACCTCACTGCAGGAGCTGTGTCAGAAGCAAGAACAATAAAATAGCAGGAAACAAGGAGCAATCACAGGTCATCCAGGGGATGAAGCCAGAAATGTGGATACATGCCATCTGATCCATACCACCTGGGCCAGAGCTAGGAACTCGAGTAACGGACTTGGACATAGAGCCTAAATCAGGGCATTGAACCATGCAGTTATGGTAATTGCCTCTACAAGGCAGCATGCAGAGCGTAAACAGTCATTTTTAAAATCAAAAATGATGACACCCCCCGAAAGGACAGTGCCAGGGACCATTAATCACATTAACTTTTTGATGCATGCTGTGAACTGGGCCTGCAGCCAAAACTATCACACATTATATTTGCCCTTTACCCCATGAGCACGTTCTCATCACAGCCCTGCAAACCCTCAGGTAAGGCGGCTTGGTTTTCCGAAATCAGACACACACCCTGCCCCACCCATCCATAGAGAGGCTGGCTTCCAGACCTCAGGGGGAGGCGTGGCCAATGGCGTCATGTCTCACAGCTTACAGGAGTTTCCAAAATAAGAATCTGCATGCATGTATATCCATGTATGTCGATTTCTCAGACTTTTCAGCAGTTAAACATTTGTATGGGTGGAGCTGGGAGTCATTAACTGCTTTAAACTTAACAGGAAGAGTCTACAAATACAAAAATGCAAACCTACTGGGTGGTTAAAGATCCAAACTGGTTTGTGCACAAAGAAGCCAGTAAAATGAAAGAAACTTCCTTCATTCACACACGCATAGAGAGCCTGGATTACGGGGGCTCCATTTGCGATACATGATAAGCAACAACAAAAGTAACAAAACCAAGTCTCCTTCACAAGGGATCTTCCTGTACCTCACACCAAAGGACAAAGAAATGGTTTCAATTACAATGCCTCAAAGAAAAAATTACAGCAAGGTTTGATTGTTATCTAAATTTCACGATACACTCATGATCCAGAGGCAATTTGTGTATTCAAATGTCAGCAATTTATACTTTTAACACAAAAGCAACTCAAAGGAATCTCTGAAAACGCATGAGGTGTCTTCAGTCTCACAGTCTACACATGTATGGCCAGCCCGTCTTGGTGTACGGCCCACACAGCACGGAACCAGCCCAGCTGTCTCGGCCCTGACACGCAGATAAGAGCTACAGTACTGTGGGCCATGCATGTGTCCAACAGAAACGTGTGTTTAATCTATCCGGCTGGTTTTGGCTAGTGAGTAGACATAGTGATGTCTGTACAGCACATGACTTTGCTCCCCCGCACAGTGATTCACAGCAGGGGTGGCAATGCATGTGTGGGTCCTGCGATTGGTGCCAGGTCAACTGCGGGGGTCGTGCAGCTGCACTTCTGTGCAAAGCACTAAATCTGAAGTGCTCCACTTAACATGCTTTTCAGTGGCGGTGGGGAGCACAAGCCAAAGAAAATTATGTTCAATATCTGAAATCATAATTTGGTCCTATAATGCTTTGAGATAAGCTTGGAGGTGAATCCTGGCAAATCTAATGACACTGCATGACTGACTAGTAAACTAGGCTGAATCCTTCACAGCGACAACCTCTTCACAGTACAGCAAAGAAGAGAAGATGGAAACACACCCAACACAAGACAAGCAGCAGTCTTCACAAATATCCACAATTCAACACATGAAAGCTTAAGTACAAAACCTGTGTTAAATAAGCAGCTCAGCTGTGTGTTTAAATCACTTGAAGATGACCTGTAACATCTGTGTAAAGCCCTTTGATACTCGTTACCTGCCCCAGCAGCAATGTCCTGAGTGCGTGTGTGTGTGTGTGTGTGTGTGTGTGTCCTGCTGGACTAGTGTATTCGGTTACTGCAGAGTAGGCACACAAAAACGCGTCTTAAGGGAAGGTCACATTACAGCAACTGCAACAAAGGCATTTTCAGGCAGGCTGAACTTCAACTAATGTTAAGGATACTGAATGCAAATGGGAAGGTAAGGCTATGCTTACAGCCATGACTGGCGTGTCCTGAATCTCCCCTCTGACCACCACTCTGTACGAGTGGCTATTAAGCATCTCGTGGCACATATATGAGGCAACCAAGTAGCACACCATCTGGATAAACACTCAAGGACAGTGTGAAAACCCACACGTGCCACTCAACATGGCTGAAGCCAAAAAGGGCACAGGTTGACATGGGGAGAAAATAACACTACAGTGGCAGCTCAGAGGGAGGGGGGCAACTAACCATTCCGACACTGCATCCAGACCTGAGGCAGCAACACCAGCACTGTGGTTATGGGTACATTTCTCTTTCTGCTTTCCCAGTTCTGCCATGCGCCAAACCACTGGAATGAGAGGAATTAAACTATGGATCTGTCACCATGGAGCTTGCATCGATAAATAATCCACCACTGCAGCCACCATTCATTTCCAAATTAAGGCAACACAACACAGACTCCTCTGCCACTATGCCCATGAAATAGTGGAAAAAAAGAGAAAACAACAGTGACTGATTCCTCAGTGACATTCATACTGCTGAAGAAAGGAGCAGAAAGAGCCAGTCACGGGGCTAGCTACCAGACACACAGCTCTGACGTCCGCCCGTGAAACACCAAGGCAATGACAAAAGGGGTCTGTGCCACAGGGCCTACGATCCATTTCCTGTTCTGCTCTCATAAACTCAACTGACTGAATACAAGAATCTCAGCTCCTGGCGGCCGGATGTCACTGAGGGTTGCCAATAAGACTGAGAAGCCACCCATACATCTGGACGTACGGAACACTGCTGGATCAGCAAAAAACAAGCCTCACCAAAAGCCTAAGTGTCGGGGTCGGTAAACAAGGCATAGCTTAACAAAAGGGAGTCACACTGAAGCTCGATCGCTTTGCATATCATTCCTCAGGCTTACTGTAGAAGAACAACACAACTCATCAAAAATTCATCATTGTCATGTTTGGATTTCTGAAAAAGATCTTACTGCTTGCTGCAGATTAAATAAAAAACATCCAGTGGATATATCCTAGTCCAGTCTTATTCTTTTTGACAGAAATACAGATTCACAGGAAACAATATTAGATACTAATTTAAGGTGGCATTCTAAATTGTAAATATTATAACACAAATATTAACAGTCTGACACGCCTTCATCTGATGTGAGGGCGTAATTTTCTTTCAAACAGAGAGCTTGTCTTCTGTACTGGTAATGCCAATTTTAATAGACACTGAGTTAAAATTAATTTTTTTTTGTTGATTTTCTTTTAGTGAGGGGAGAATACTCATGTATGTTCTTTATTTCAATAAGAAAAGTTTTTTCAAAAGTTGTTAAAGGTTAATAAATCTTTACATTTATAATGAAATCCTCACTCTTCCAGTTAAGAGTGAATGAAACAAATGAAGCTCAAATCTGAATTAAAAATTCCCGGTCTTCACAGATACGGATTAAAGACATTTAAACTGCGTCTTATATACAATGAAAAGGCAGACAAACCTAGAGTCCCAACAGCAGCACAATCAGCTCGAATCATCCGCAGGAAAACTGACTTCGGTCCACTTTCTCTCACACGCTGAATGATAACGTCAAAGCAAGCTGGTTCCGTCACTTTTTCCCCCACTGTTGATTTAGAAAGGGAAATCAAGGCTTGTCTCCTCATTTACTTAAACTTTCACAGCACCCATCACCACTGTTGGCACCTAGAGTTTTAAAAACGCATAAACCAGTACACCTTGTTAAAAGACACTTGGTCCGTAACGGTTTGCTAACAGGAACCAGCTTGTGTCAAATAAAACTGTTTAACGGCAATAAAAAATACTCGTCGGTCTGCAGAAATACTGATAGCACACTGCAGGACAAAATCTGGTTCCGTCAACATGATACTGCTTTAGATTTCTTTAGAAAGAGGAAATAGAAGCTTTGACCTCGATCTCCGTATTCAGCAATGCAAAATCCACTTAACGTGCCAGTAAACTTGAGCGTTCTGTTCACTGGAGCAGTAAGTACCATAGGTGTAGCCCCAGAAACATGCGCGGCGTTACCGGCTCGATAGGTGCAGCCCTGGGGTGGCAGACTCACGCCCCGGCGCGTCATGCGCCACTGTGTGATGTCCTACACACCACACACGGGAATGACTGTCAGAGGCTTCCAGTACTTACTCGAAACTAAACGGTAAACAGTCTGTCCGGGAAAACTGGGGATCTCCGCCTGTCCCTTAATTAGGACCTTAGGAGTGGGAGCAGCACAGGCAGTCCGCCGAGACGGGGTTCGAAAACCCGGCGGCAGCCAAGAGCCCAGCCGCCTCTACCGGATATCTATATTTTTTAATCTCCTAACTTTTACGGCGAAGTTCTGGATAACTACCTAACCAACTCAGTCTCAGTCCCCGATTCGAAATAGCCCCTGTCCGGCTGAGCTACCGAGCAGACGAAAGCCGCATCAAAATATGAGTTTTCCAGTTTAAGTAAAAGTTCGGCGGCCAAAAAAAAAAAACGAACCCTGAACCGACCGAGGACTATGACACGTCGAACCGCGCCGGCACCGAGCCCGTTCACCGTTCCCTCACCGAGGTGAAAAACGCAGCATCAGACATCGGCTTTTCTCTTCGGGGCTTTACCTTCGAGTGAACGCGGGGCAGGGACGTGGCCGAGCCGCTACCTCATAATTTCCGAGCCGCTTCGCCTCCCGCACCGCTGCTCCCTCATCCGCAGTCCACACTTCTGAGCCCGAAAGCCGGCGAACACTGTTCGTGAGACCGGCGCGCGTCGTTTCCGGCACGCGATGACGTCGCTCGCTCCGGATTCCCAAAATATCCAGATGACGTAATCGCACGCCCACAGCCCTTTGGCCAGGAGCGCTCGGGAAATTACCGAAAGTTGCGATTTTGTGGCGTCGCCCATGTAACCTACTAATTATTTTAATTTTCCATTATTATATCGCTCTCACGAATGTTACGACGCCTTGTTCTGCGATTATTAAATATGGGGCTGATGGCCTAACTTTTTAATTAGCTTGATAGATTACCTGTAAAAACACCCAACTACTGAAAACGCGGAGTATTTCAATGTAAAACCGTTAATGTGTCAAAATAATTAAGCACTGTATTTTGCTAATTTTATTTCATTAGTCAAACTTATAGAAATAGTCACAGTATTAAACTGATTCACAATCGTTTGGGAACAAACCCATAATCATTCAGCTATGTCAAGGGTCACATAAAAATACATCCGACAATGACCAAGGTAAGCGGTTAAAGGATGGCTAAAAATAAATTGTTTGCCGTTTTATTATAAGTAAATCAGCACTATTTTTTTACCTTGCATGAAATTTTTGAGCGCCATTATTTGCGAGCTTCATAATGAATCGCTAGGACTGAAAAGCAGTACCGTTCTGCATTTGTAGTTAAGTCTCGTTTTGGCACCTACTACTGGCGAGAATATATAATTCTGTGTGTGGGAAGAAGTTCGTAAAAGAAAGAAAATCGTACAATAATGAGGAAATCCATCCATCCATCCTTTTTTCAACCCCCGCCTGTCCTGTGCAGGGTCGCAGGAGTCCGGATCCTTTCGATAGCGCAAAATAAGTTTAAATGATAGTTGTTGTTCAGTGGCCAAAAAGCTAACCACGCGTTTGTCATTCGGGGGTTTTCTGCTTTGTCTTAGAGGACGTTCCAGTTAAAGGCGCCTTAAGTCTGAATACGCCCCCTCCCCGTGCTGCAGTGTTGATGCTGACATGTTCAGCTCGGCGAAGGCATTACGGCGACACCGGCCCGCAGCACTTAAAAGGGAATTAAAGGCAAGACGGTGGGAAGTGTCGGATCGATGAGCGCCAGCGATGGTCCGGGCCAAAGCGTCGGGCGCTTTCAGAGGCTTCACTGGGGAGCCATTGGGAGGAGTGCGGCCAGCACCGAAAAGGTTTCATGACTTTTAATTAAGAAGGCGATCAGGGCTTCATAAGTTCCAAGCGCAGGAAAGACTCCTGCTCCATCGCCTTGAGCCGGGATGCCGCAGACGGAGGGGGACGCCCTGGCCGAGTGCCCGGTTTGCTACGAGGTCCTACACGCCGATTTGCGGACGCTCAGCTGTGGGCACGTTTTCTGCCACGACTGCTTGGCGAGGACGCTGCTCAGCGGGGCAAGACAGGGAGCAGTCACCCGGAAAAGCATCACCTGTCCGGTGTGCAGACACCTGACCTTCATTTCCGAACTGGCCGGGGGTAAAGGCACAGATTACAGCCAGGTTATAGAGGTGCCCCCCATTTCGGTCGCTTGCCGGGAGGACCAGCTCGGGAACTACGTGCTCCCCTGCACATGGCTCCCCGGGGTTTTTACCCGGACCAGAGCGGTCACCCCCATCCAGGCTCCGCAGATCTTCACCATCAGCGGAGAGGGCCGACCCATGCAGGACGGGGACCAGGTCAGCGTGGCGAGCGCGGCCGGCGAGCCGCTCACCCGGCGTGGGCGCCCCGCAAACCGCCTGAGCGCCTGCGGCGTCCTGTCGCTGCTGCTCGTCCTCACGTCCCTGGCTGTGGCTTCAGCGATTTTGCGCTGGATTCTGCTGGAGCACTCTTAACTTACTTTGCTGGAATGGGTACGCAGACGTTTTTGAAGGCTGGAAAAATATTATTCATGATAATTGAAGCGTTCCGCTCTGTTGAGTGTATTTTAAGGTAAAATGCAGTGCTGGAGACTTGCTTCGTGTTATTTCTTTGGAGTGTGTAATTCGACCACTGATCTTGTAATCTTATAGTGTAAAAGTGTTTAAAATTGTAAATGGTACCAAATGCCAAAACCTTTTTTTAACCTTTTTAGATTTCCACTTAATCTTGATACGATCTCTGTGAAATGCACAGTATTATGATTCAAAGTGTCCGCACCACAACGATGTGGAGAGATTTTATGCTGTAATTTAAAAAAATTCTTAATAAACTTTTGAAACGATTTTTTAATGTTCTATGCCAAGATAATGACTAGTTACCCTGCAAGCCAGACCATCGAAAGCAGTTAGAAGATGGATGGAAGGTAATGGGTTAGTATTTCTCAAGTTATGAACAAAATGAAGCCTGTTGATATTTTTGGAAAACGCAGGATCTTTTTTGTCTGTTAAATATATTCGGAGTATATCATTCCTAAAAACGAGGTGACGGCACCTTTCCCACGGGGACGAATGTGACAGTTGAACGGAAAAATGATTCCTGAGCCTGCAGTGGCAGAATCGTAAGCAAAGCCCAGTGTACGCAGTGATAGCACACTGTAGTCCCGCATGTATCGTTATGAAAACACAACCCGGTGGTTTATCTGACGCACATTCCTGCTGCTGCTCCTTTAAGCCCCCCCCCCCGAACTGTTGCCCGGTAACAAGCCCAAACAGCCACACTGGTCATGGCGTCCGCACTGCACAAAGTTTGGAGGCTTCCTTCAGATGGTGGGAGCCTGGTCTTTGACGAGAGGGAGACTCTGCTCACGCAGGTGCTGGACTCGGGCAGGGCTTATAGAAAGGTTTGTATTGTGACCCTTGACCTTTGCTCCACATGTGATGCCTTATAAATTCAGCAGAACACACACGCACAATGGCTGACACGTCACTCCGGTGTGTTTGGGGAATGAGGTTGGTTGTAAAAGGCAAGAAGAGCCATCACTGATTGACGTTGACTATATGTAATATAATACTCTAGAAAGCTCCTCTTCAGTTACCCAAACTCCTGGCCCGTCTGTGAACCTCTAGAGCCTGATTTTGCTTTCACATTCAAATCCGCTCGGCTCTCCCCTGAGAGAGAACGTGCTGTGTAGTCATGGCGACTCAGCCCTGCCGGCTGCCAATATGCAAGCACGTCCAGGATGCTGGTGAACAGAGCCAGCGTCAGGGTAAACTCAATACCCCCCCCACCCCGGGGGTGAGATTCTCCCCCTGCAAATGGGGCGGAGTGTGTTTGGATCTGGGATTTGCTGTCGGCTGTCTGTGTGGCCCTGCTATGGCACCGGTGGGTCTCCAGGATATGGTGTTAAACACAGACAGCCTGTCCTGCAGCCATGAGAGTGGATGACTCTTCTAAGAACCTAGGCAGTCCAGAAGAAAATGTTGGGACCAGCCTCTTCCACCGCCTTTGGGCCCAGAGGATGGTGATGCGTTCCCAGGAGGAGATGGTCAGTACATTGATGGGCTTTTCCCTTCGGCTCCTTCATATAGTCGGCCAATTTCAGCACCTTACGATATCGGTCTCAGGTCAAGACGTTTCTATAAAGGCACATTACCTTGGTCATGCTGTGAAGTCGCCATTTGGAAAGTTAGGACTGGACCGGGAGCAGAAGTAGGACCGACCTTGGAAGATGGTGAATGGTGACCTTGAGTGAAGTGGTCCTAGGAGATATTCACAGAAACGCCCCCCCCCCCGACCGCGCTGTTTATATATTTGGAGGTGCAGCTAGAATGTTGATGCTGGCGGTAACGACATGACCTGCCCCATTTTCGGCAGACTTTTCCAGGTAACGTGCCGCTGTCTTGTTGACAGCACACAGCGTCTGTTTGTGCTGGGGGTGTGGGGGTGTGGGGGTGATCTCTATGGGCAGAACCTGGTTTTCAGGTCCGCTGCTAGGAACCTGCTTTCGTGTGTGGGGGTGTCGAGTTACGGCAGCGGTCACTGAGAATAGGAGGCAGTGTGTGGGATTGTGTAGGTGCTCACATTGGGGGGGAGGACAGGGGTTCAGGCTATTGTTTTACCTGTCACCTGTAACTTCACTCGTTATACTCCCCCCCCCCCAGAAGTTCCTGTTGCACCGGCTGGTGGTGGCCTCTGGCATCTCTGCGAGCCTCGCCGACAGGATGGAGCTGGAAGGTAGGCCAGATCGGAGCCGCCTGAAAGCACCATCCCAGAATCCTCTTTGTCTGCGAAGGGGGCTCAGGTTCAGGACACCGTTTTGGGCTTCCTGTGAAAATGCTGCCCTGCTAGTGTTATATTCGGATGGCAGTTCTGCCCCTAACAAACATGGAGTCCTCTGGTCAGGCCGAAACCGTGTGCATTGTGGGCCACCTTTCCGTGCTCGCAGGGACTTGAGGTGACACCAGGAGTGTCGCTGATGCCCCTTCCTGCAGTAGGGGGTGGTGCACAGACGTCCCATTTGTTGATGACATTGAGCAGTTCACCTGGGACCCATTTAAGCCACACCTCCACTCCCCGTGCGGGGAATAAACCCGGTGCTCATACTGTCCTGGCCACGCCCCCTTTCCCTCAGCCCACTGGGAGACCCTGTGCCACAGAGTCCAGCGCCGTCACCATGGAGACGTGGTTACCGGGCTGCTCCTCCTCTACCCGACCTGCGCGCTTCACATTGTCGAGGTAACCGGAAAGACGTGTATTTTCTTCAGCGAGGGTTTGTTTGCTTGGTTAACGTACCTTTGCATCCCCCCCCCGCAGATCGTTGCTGATCCTCTATAAATAATGGCCTCACTGTGTAAGGTCTAAACATGTAAACACACAGCATCTCTCTCTCCCCCCCCCCCACCTTGTGTCCCCAGTGCTCCAGCGAAGCCCTGGTCACCGTCCTGCAGGACCTGGGGGGTGTGCACACACCAGAGCACAGGTGGCTCCTCTATCCCCCAATTCGAAGTAGAGTTAGGCCAGAAAGGTTGCCAGCTGACATCTGGGATCCTGCTGTTGTACCTTTGACAATGGCCCTTTTTGCGTTACTACAAGGTTCCACAATTCCGGTCCTGGAGGGCCAGTCTGTGACACAGTCTGCAGATTTCCCTGCTCAAACACGCCTACTGAGCCTAGCAATTGGCTGGTGAGCTGTGCTCCAGACCGCCCCCCCCCCCCAGGACTGGAACTAGGGACCCCTGCTTTACTAGCTTGTAGGATTGTCTATAAAAAGATCTCCAAAAAGTTGTTCAAGCTGAATAATTCCTTTGGATAATATTTAAACTGAGAGCTGTGGACACCTCTCAGCTCTGAGTGACTGGACCTCGATGCTCATTGGCTCAGTGTCTTTCTTGTGAAGTCATTCATTAAAAAGCATTTTTCCTTCCCTTTCTGGATCAAACACACATGTCCAACCCACTGTGCATGTGGTCTGGGTCTCCTGGCTGCCTCGTGGTCCTGCAGCCCCCCCACCGCGTACGCCAGGGTCCTGGCGGTGTCACATGACCTGCCGGCACGACTCTTCCTGCAGTGGAGCTGCAAGACGCTGCCTCCGGCGGCTCGGACGCTGGCCGGAGGCTCGGAGCGGGAGCCCACAGAGAAGCTGGTCCCAGATGCTCTGGAGCAGCTGGTGCAGCTGGGACAGCACATGCTCAAGCTGCCCAAGGTGGGATTTCCTGTCCTGAGTCAAACCTGCATTCTGTACATCACCCTGTGTAGGTCCTGGGTTACTGTGGCATGTCAATTATTCCAAGAGATGTATGTGATATATTTAAAATGCACACAGTCGATACAATTCTCACAAGCAATACATTACACCAGCGGCAAGCTTAAGTGTTTGCTTAGACCAAAAGCCACCTTAAGCTCGAACTAATAAACCAGGTGACCTTATGTGTGAGATGAGAACCAAGACCCCCATAAGTGCAAATGGAGGACCCAGGTGGCCTTAAGCGTTTTGCGGTAAGTTTTGGGACAGTTCAGTGGTTTCAGCTTGCAGGTCAGTCCCCTAGGTGAGCAGCAGAGAGCAGACATGCCTCTGTGAATAGCTGATGTAGCTCCCCAACATTCAGTGTTTTTAATTGATCACACAAGGGGTCAAAGGTCGCCATGGATGCTGCTCTGGACCAGGTGCCAGAGCTGATGGTCCCGCAGGGTGTGGTGGAGGAGCTGCTGAGGAGAGAGGAGCTTCTCACGCCCCAGCAGTACCTGGAGGTCTACCACTCCCCACTCAACGCGATGGGGGACTCCGGTAGGGTATCGGCTGAGGGTCACACACACCCACTCAGACCACCTTAAATAGTGTGTCACACAGACCAGTGTGCAGTGCCTGTGTGACACACACACACACACACACGCATGCATGCAGGCCTTCGCTAACCACACACGTTCTGTTTTTTTCTGAAGGACACATCTTCAGTAGCGACTCGCCCACCACAGTGTAACTGTGAGCAAAGGCTGAAGGTCAAAGGTAAATTGCCTACGTGATGTGGGATGTTAGCTCTATGGGGCCACCTGCAGGCTGCTCCATCTGGATCTGGATCTTCTGCAATAACGTAGTTCTGCTCTGCCTTCCCCTCAAGGTGTGTGCGTCATGTGTGCTCCAGGTTCTGCGGGCACCAAGGTTTCTGTGTCGCTGGCTGCAGCTCTGCTGACACCTTGTGGCGGTGGTGGGTACTACAGCCCTGACAACTGCGAGAGCGCCATTGGGACTTATAACGTCTGCCTGAACGTCAGAGACACATTTATAGTTATATACTGTAATATAATAATGACATTGATTATGATGAGAATATTAGCGTTAAACATAGTACCACTTATTTTTCTTGCTTCATTGAGTTGTTGCTGATTAACCATTGGCGAGGGAATGCAGTTTATCTATGAATGCAGAGTAAAGTACAGGAAATGATCACACGTCTCTGTAGTCCTTTCTCTTATTAGTTCACATGAAGGTAACGGACAGTTCTTCATCCCGTTATACGGCTGGGAGTCATACTGTGGTACGTAAGGGCCAGCAGCACAGTTAACCCCCGTCAGGACTGCAGGTCTGTCTCCCTGACATACTGACTTTAAGGTGACCCACGACGCACATGCCAAGCAAACACGGAGCTCTGGAAGGAAAGGCAGCTGAAAGACACCATACACCTTTTTAGAAATGAGCTTTAATCAACATTCTAATAAGGACCGATGGAGTGGTACACAGAGGCTGGGCCGTGGGCGTGTCGGGGGGGGGGGGTCAGGGGTGTCAGAGGTACCCCCACCACTCAGCACCCCAGGGTATAGTACAGAGGATCCCCCGAAATAGCCCCCAACAAAGGACAGAGCAGCGTCCAGACTGAGCACCTGTACAGTCCCAGCATGCACCTCACTGTTACGTACAGCATCTACAGAGAGATCTTGTGACCCGTGCTTTCAGTTTCTGGTGCAGAAGGAGGGGCGGGGGCTTGTATGCAGGTTACTGGAAAAAGACTGGCTGATTGTGAAGACCCTGGATTCCAATGAAACTGCACAGAAAAGACTCCATGTCAGCTGACCTCACTGTATAGCCCATTTTGACTGGCAGATGGATCATGTCAGCTGACCTCACTGTATGGCCCATTTTAATTGGCAGATGGACCATGTCCATTGACCTTGCTTAAGATCCACTTTGATTTGTAGCTGCACCATGTCAGCTGACCTCACTGTAAGACCCACTTTGATTGGCAGCCGCACCTTATCAGCTGACCTCACTGTAAGACCCACTTTGATTGGCAGCCGCCTCATGTCAGCTGACTTGACAGCACCAATCTCTGGGTATTCTGTGTTTAGACACCCGGTTCAGTGATTTGACACCTGGGTCTTCGGTAGCGGCCCCTATGTCTGGCTGCGTGTAAGTCTGTAGGGTTTTTAACCCTCGCCAATGCACTCGAACATGCATGCACACACACAACAAGCCAGTCTTCCCCCAGTAGGAGCCATCTCCCTGCTCTTTCCTGTCACACTAGGTGGGTCTCCTGGAGTCTGACTGTGAGGCAACCAGCTTTGCCTTCAGTCAAAATCAGATTATTAAAGGACCGACTGTCAGCGAGCGGACATGCAGAGCATCATGGGAAGGCTCCCAACTGCAGGAGCGGCTCTGCTGTTTCTGGGTCCCCCCCCCCCAAATGCAATAATAGCTAGCTGTAATAATGTAATAGTGTGTCAGAAGACCATAGCTAGCTGGTTAGCAGAACATGCTGCTTCAGCATCTCCTAATTGAGGAAAGCAATTTTTTAATATTTAGTGGAGTGACTGTTTGTGACCAGCAGGGGTCATGAGAGAGCGGTCGTCGCTGCTGCCCCAACTCGGAATACGTAGTCAGGGAAACTCCATACCCGTGCTAGCCCAGCTACCCTCCTTCACTTTATCCTGCGAACCAATCAGGGCTGAGCGATGACATCACATGACCTTACTCAGACCCTCTAATGGGAGTTCATCACAAAAAAAGACATTTCTCCAACAGTTAAGGGCTGGCCTGAGCATTTGCTAAAAGATCATTCTATAAAACATTACCTCTTTTTTTTTTGGGGGGGGGGGAGTTAACAATGTAATCAAACAACCCTTTACAGAACAGCGAACAAACCATCACACCAGATGATAACCGGATTGACTGTCACAGTAAGCACACCCACCAGCAATGCAAGGATACACATCATCAGCACTAACATCAACATGGTTTTCATATAGTATCTCACACGGCTCTTTAAAAACAAGGAGGATTCTGGGTAACCAGAAAGGAGCGAACAGAGTGCTCACATCAGGTTCCATGCCTTCTGTCATCCAGTTTACTGAGGTTGTCCATGAAAAATGTTGTAATTGCACTTTAATCTGTAGTTACTTTCTGTTTTGGAAGTTCTCATCATTGGGTCTGGCCTGGATTGAACGTTATTGCTTTCTCAGGTGACTGGAGGACCGAAATAAAACCCTGTTAGCAAATCACTTCGAACGTGACTCATAAAACAGTTTGATGAGTACAGGGCTTTTACAGAATGGCTACCCTCTTCATCACAAGCCCATAACTTTTGAAAGAGCTCCCTCTGGTGGCAGCAATAATGACATTCCTCCGCATTTGTGTTCACCTTGCCCAGGCTAAGGAATTGTGTGGGGGGAAGGGGTTGGGGAAGAGGGGGGCGGGATGGTGCGTGGTGGCATGCATGAGCATGGGGGGAGGGGGGGTCACCCTGTTTAGTCAGCACCCTGTACCCAAGCCCTCTGCAAGCTTTCAAAATACAAACACCTTGTCAGTACCTTTCCTGCGTTTTGACTCATTTGGCCCTAAAGATGGATTAAAAAGAATCCTTTGTCTTTGAAAAGTTGCCAAGATGAGAGGATAAAAACAGGAAATCCAGAGATCCTACATTAACCTTCACGTGGTGTGTGTTTACATGTATGTTTGCCTGTTAGGTTATTCCAGCTATGCATATACACACACGTATGTACAGTGTTAAGTATTTACAGCAGGACTTTTCAGTATTTGAAATTGCGCGTCGTGGGGTCAGGCTTATCGCTGTCAGGTAGCGGCAGGCATTCCGCCCCCGACTCACAGCCCCTTCCAGCCTCCGGCTCGGGGTCAGGTCCCCAGGAGTTGGGGTCTGGAGGCTCCAGTTAACCCTACAATGGATATGTGTCTCTTGACGGTTTCACATCTATATTTAATGAAAATATTTCCTAAAGGAATAAAATCAGTAAAATCTCATCTTGTATAATAATTTCATTAATAATTGTCATTTTTAAAGAATACTTTCCATATTATATATATATATATATATATATATTCACGTCACCACTCTGATTTTGGTCACTAGGATGGATTTTTGTTCAGTCTCCTCAGTGATTAGAGAACATGTGCTCTAGCCACACCTCTGTGGCATGACCACGCCCCACATGCTGACCACGCCCCACAGAGAACGTGTCATTGGGTCTGAGCAGACAGGGGGAGGTTCCATATCAATTTTCGCTTATAAATGTGCTGTTATATATGTATTTTATAGATATATTTTTAAATATATTAAACTGATTTCTAAAAATAATATGACATATATAGCTTATATAATATTATAAATCTATCTTTTTTATCTTCTACTCAGAGGCACAGAATGTGAGCTGCTTGCTGTGATGGAGATGGACTCAACCGGAACGGGGCCTCACCGTGGGGGGGTGCATATCACCACCCCCCATGGCGACCAGTGCTGGCTGGGGAGCTGATGTGAATTGACGGGGGTCCTGCTCATTGGTGCAGCGGGCAACTTAGAGTTTGACACTGGGACGCAGGCGAGGATGACAATGTCGAGAAAGAAAATTTGAAAAACGATAAAAATGTTTAAAAAAATGACCATGCGGTAGCTATAGACAACACTCCTGTCACATGGGCTTTCGCTCCTGTTTTCGCAGGTCCCAGTGTAAATATACTCATATATTCTGTTCTTTTAACATTATCTACAGACACGAGCTCCTTTGCAGTCAGTAGAGAGAGACCCAGTAGTAGCCTGGGGAGGTGGGTTTGTGGAGCGGTACTTTAGGGAGGCTCGTCCAGGGGGTGAGGGGCAGCATCCGGAATCCGACAGCCTCCTACTCAGCTGCGGGACGAGGAGGAGGCGGAGGAGGAGAGCAGGAGAGCCGGTAAGTTTGTGGGGGGGGGAGGGGGGCCATGATTGGTTGATTGCCAGCAGGGGGGCGGTTCTTGGCGCCGTCATAGCACCGTGCTCTCCGACTCCTCCTCAGACTCCGCCCTCCTGGTCTGTCCCGCTGCCATCGGTGCCGAGTCTCCAGAGGGGGCGGCCTTGTGCTTATTGTGGGGGCCATCCGGGTCAGCGTAAACAGGGGGGTGATCCGGCTCAAGGAGAGAGTCTTTGGTGACATCAGATGGTGACAAGGGCACCGGGGGGTAGGGAGGAAGGAGAGGGGAACAGAGGTTAGCCATCACGCAGGGACACGAGGTGGCATCACATGATGGCAGGAGTTGCGACACACGAGCGGACAACAGCGCGGACGCATTGTATGCGTAGGAGACGTCATCATACACAGCAGGCTGAGAGCCCAGGGAATTCTGGGTACCAGATAATCAAGAGTGCCGACCTTTCAGTGGGGCTCGGGTAGTGGAATTAGCAAGTTAAACAAAGGTGAAATATACACTGCTCAAAAAATGAAAGGAACACTTTTTAATCAGAGTATAGCATCAAGTCAATTAAAATTCAGCAGCCTTGGTATTAATGAAAGGAGAACTAGAGAGGCAACAATGAGACGACCCCCAAAACAGGAATGGTGTAACAGTTGGGGGCCACTGACATTTTTCCCTCCTCATCTTTTCTGACTGTTTTTACACTAGTTTTGCATTTGGCTACAGTCAGAGTCACTACTGGTAGCATGAGGTGATACCTGCACCCTACAGAGGTTGCACAGCACAGTCCAACTCCTCCAGGATGGCGCATCAATACATGCCGATTGCCAGAAGGTTTGCTGTGTCTCCCAGCACAGTCTCAAGGGCATGGAGGAGATTCCAGGAGACAGGCAGTTACTCTAGGAGAGCTGGACAGGGCCATAGAAGGTCCTTAACCCATCAGCATGACCGGTATCCGCTCCTTTGTGCAAGGAGGAACAGGAAGAGCACTGCCAGAGCTCTACAAAATGACCTCCAGCAGGCCACTGGTGCGAATGTCTCTGACCAAACAATCAGAAACAGACTTCATGAGGGTGGCCTGAGGGACCGACGTCCTCTAGTGAACCCTGTGCTCACTGCCCGGCACTGTGGACCTCAATTGGCATTTGCCGTAGAATACCAGAATTGGCAGATCCGCCACTTTCACCCTGTGCTTTTCACAGATGAGAGCAGGTTCACACTGAGAACATGTGACAGACGTGAAACGGTCTGGAGAAGCCATGGAGAATCTTATGCTGCCTGTAACATTGTTCAGCATGACCGGTTTGGTGGTGGGTCAGTGATGGTCTGGGGAGGCATATCCATGGAGGGACACACAGACCTCTACAGGCTAGACAACAGCACCTTGACTGCCATTGGGTATCGGGATGAAATCCATGGACCCATTGTCAGACCCTACGCTGGTGCAGTGGTTCCTGGGTTCCTCCTGGTGCACGACAATGCTCGGCCTCATGTGGCGAGAGTATGCAGGCAGTTCCTGTAGGATGAAGGAACTAATAGCATTGACTGGCCCCCACGCTCGCCTGACCTAAATCCAACAGAACACCTCTAGGACATTATGTTTCAGTCCATCTGACGGCGCCGGGTTGCACCTCAGACTGTCCAGGAGCTCAGTGATGCCCTGGTCCAGATCTGGGAGGAGATCCACCAGGACACCATCCATCATCTCATTAGGAGCAGCCCCGACGTTGTCAGGCATGCACACAAAATGGACTAACCTGCCGCATCATTTTTTCACATTGATTTTCGCGGTCTTTGAATTCAGCCCTCTGTAGGATGATAATTTTCATTCCCATCAATTCCCATCAATAATCGATGTGGCATCCTTTCATTCCTAACACATCACCCAGTCCATATCAGTATAGATATCCAGCATGATTTTTTCCCCATTGAGATCTGATGTGTTTTCAAAGTGTTCCTTCAATTTTTTTTGAGCAGTGTATTTCACAGGAAGTTACGTGAAGGGCGTTCTGCTAACTACACCAGGGAGGATTGTGGGTATGATGACATCACCGGGGTGTTCACAGAATGGATAAGGCCACGCTGATGCAGTTCCATTGGGGGGGTGGTTTAGGAGGGGCAGAGATTGCAGTGGCTTCGGGGGGGG